TACACACACACACACACACACACACACACACATACACACACACCACAAACACACAACTTCTCTATCATTACACACGCACGCATATCCATCATTATGAATGAGCCATACGATAACACAATAAGATTCGTCTGTTAACTTTCACATAACATAATGACGAATAAGGAACACGGAAAATTTCAGGGTTAAAACCGTTTTATTCTGGGATCGCGGCACCTTTGTTGTGATTTTTAAATTCTTTTTCTAGATATAATAGGCTCTACACACAAACATAAATAAATACATATAAATGTGTGTATGTGTGTGCGTGTGTGTGTGTGTGTGTGTGTGTGTGTGTGTGTGTGTGTGTGTGTGTGTGTGTGTGTGTGTGTGTGTGTGTGTATGTATGTCGTTCATTTACCCATGACTCATTCCTTTATGTTTAGCGAGACTGGACTCTGTCGACAGATCAGTATGAAAGAAATTTGTTGGAAAACCGAAATAGTAAGCCAAAGGTGGAGAAAAAGACCGCCAACTCGACACCCCTGAAGTTTTAACGTATGACCTGCAACCCCACTATTTACGTTATACTCCTTCCACCTTTCTCTATCCTGGGCTAGCCTCTTAATGTTATTCGTTGTGTTCCCACTTTTCTGTACATCGATTCGGGGGATTCTTCTCCGGGTTCCACGAGGTCTTCCCCTTGATCTCTTACCCTGTGGGTTCCAATCCAAAAGTTTCTTTGTTATGCAGCTGCCTGACTTCCTGAATGTATGTCCAATCCATCGCCACCGCCTTCTTCCTACGTCATCTTTGACTGGGATCTGTCTTGTATTCCTTAACACTTCCATATTGTTGACCCTGTCTGTGCATCAGATCCTGAGTAACTTTCTCAGATACCTGTTCAAGAAAACCTGGATCCTCTGTATTCAAGTCTGCGATTCGTTCCATGTCTCATACCCATACAACAGGACCGACTTCACATTTGAATTGAAAATCCTCAGCTTTGTTCGAGGTGAGATATCTCAGGTCTTCCAAATCATATCCAAAGATATGAAAGCAGCCTGTGCTTTTCCAATGCCCGACTTTATTTCCTCCCTCTCTGTCAATTATACTCCGAAGATAGTAGAAGGATTCAACGTTTTCTAGTGCCTTTCCTTCTATTGTGACCTGCTCCTTTCGTTGGCATCTGTCCTCAGGACCTTTGGCTCTCCGGGGTAGATCCTCAATCCAACAGATTCCGATAGGCTGTTTAATATTGAAGTCTTTGCTTGCATCTGTTCCTGGGTGTTCGACAGAAGCGCCGAGTCGTTTGCAAAATCCAGATCGTCCAACTGTGTCCATGGTGTCCACTGTATACCATTTCTGTGTCCTCTGGTGGTTTCCTTCATCAGCCAGTCGACTGCCAATATGAAGAGGGACGGTGATAATAAACATCCCTGTCTCACACCAGTCTTGATGTCAAAGCTGTCAGTGAGCTGGCCATCATGTACAACCCCGCAACGTGTCCCTTCGTACATGCTCTTGATGAGGTTCACCAACTTCTGTGGGATTCTGTGGTGTCTCATTATCGTCCATAGTGTCGCTCGGTCTATACTGTTTCTTCTCATAGTCAAGGAAGTTGACGATCAGCTGGGAGTTCCACTCCAGGGACTGTTCCATAATAATCCTCAGCGTTGCAATCTGGTCGGTGGTTGAGCGATTTTCCCGGAAAACCCATCGTTTAGACTGAGCTTCCTTTCAAACAATGGTTTTCCCCTCTTTGTCCTTTACTGGTACTTCAGGTTTCCCGTATTTGAGAGAAGAGTGATCCCTCTGTGGTTGCTGTGGTTGCTGCAGTTGCTGAGATCCCCCTTTTGGAAGCTTCACGAGGTGTCCTTCTTTCCAACCCTTTGGCAACTTGGTCTCATTCCAGATCTTGGTAAACAATGGGAGGAGGATGTCTGCCGTCCCATTGGCATCTGGTTTTAGGGCTTCGGGTGGAATCTGGTCAGGACCAGTCGCTTTGCCTTTGTTCAGCTTCTTAATGGCATTCCGGAATCTCTTGTTTTGAAGGAGCATCACAGCAGATTTGTAACTCATTTCTTGCTGGCAGGATGTTTGGTGGGTTACTCGGTGGTGGTCTGTTCAGGAAACTGTTGAAATGCTGTACCCATCGTTTAGACTGAGCTTCCTTTCAAACAATGGTTTTCCCCTCTTTGTCCTTTACTGGTACTTCAGGTTTCCCGTATTTTCCAGCCAGTGTCCTTGTGGTCTGGTAAAGGATTCGCATGTGCCCTCCTACCGCTGCTTCCTCTGCCTTTTCTGCCAGCCTGTTCATGAATTTCTCCTTGTCTTTTCTTAGTGATTTCTTGACACATTTAGCTGTTGTCCTGTACTGCTCTAATGCATTCTCTTTTGATCCTCTTGTTCTACTTGCATTCGCTTCTACCTTCAGCTGTCTTTTTATCCTAATCAAATCCAATGAGTGTTGGCTAATCCAATCCTTGTGCTCCCATTTCTTCACACCGAGTACTTCTTGACATGTTGATGCAAAGACTTCTTTGACCTTGGTATAGTGTGTATCCACCTCCTTGTCCTCTCCGCCAAGATCATCTAGAGGTTGAAATCTGTTCCTCAGCTGCAGCTGAAACTCTTCTTTCTTGTGTCCGTCCAAGAGACTTACTTGGAACTTTGTTCTTTTGATTCCTATACTGGTTCCGAGCTTTTTGAGTCGAAGCTTGAGTTTCGCCAAAAGCAGATGATGATCCGATCCAACATCTGCCCCTCTCTGTACTTTGACATCTTCCAGAGAACGCCTGAACCTACGAGAGACACAAAAATGATCTATCTGGTTTTCCGTCACTCCATCTGGTGAAACCCATGTGGACTAGTGAATTCTCTTGTGGGGGAAAAACAGAGCCTCCAATGACCAAACTATTGAAAGCACATATATTTGCGAATCGCTGATTGTTCTCATTCTTATCCAAAGCCATGTTGTTCCATAATTCTTTCATACCCCTCGTTGTCCTGACCAATCTTGGCATTGGCATCTCCCATTATGATGTTGACATCCTTCCTTGGTAGTTTGTCGATGACCCCCTGGAGCTGGCTGTAAAAAGCAGCATTGTCTTCATCCGAGGCATCGTTTGTTGGGACGTAGATTAGGACTATATCCATGTTGATGCTCTTGCTCTTTGTAGTGAATGAAGCCATGATGATCCTTTCCCCGTGTGGTTCCCAACCTCTAAGTGACTTCTGTGCATACTTACTCAAAATAATTCCCACTCCTTCCGCATGGTACTTGTCTTCCCTCCCAGAATACAATACTTGTTCCCCGAGCTGAGCTGCTTCTGTTCAGACTGCATCCAGTGTGTTTTGCTGACTCATAGTATGAGCATCCTGTATCTCATCATCTCTTGTACTACTTGAGAATTCCACGACGCAATCCGGAGAGACTTGTTCGCAGAGAAGGTTTCGGGTCAGAAGAGTCCTTTCGGCTTTGTCCACTGTCCTTTATTGTTCTTGCTGATGCAGAAGCTCCTCCGTCTCCGAAGATCGAAAAATAAAAAGCTGTGTTAGTCCTTGTTTCTGTAACTTACTGTTTTTTATTGGGTGAGTAGTTGGCACTCCACAAAACGACACGCAGTATCACGCAAGGTGTATTCTTTGCTCCCCCATAGTAAAACTATGCCCCG